GTCTACATAGTTATATGAACATAGAATACAAGTTCCTGATCTCCTTTTTGTAACTGTGATATAATCAAGAATGAAAGAAGATACCCCTGTATATTTGTAAAGAAAATGCTTGAAAAGAACATTTCCTTTAGTTTTGAAATACCTGTATACAGTTTAATTTCTCTCAGCTCATACTACAAAGGATGCAGATAATTTCTCTAAACTAATGTACATTAAGCTAATGTACTAATGTACATTCAGCTAATCTTCTAAGTAAACTAAAAAGTAGTAAATTTACAATAGTGATTGTTAGAAGATTAAAGAAAACAAGATCAAGTTAGTTTAAGAATATTCTAGTACTTAAGTAAGATTTAAGGTATCACACCACTATTAAACAAATATTAAGTACTGTATATTATGATATAACTAAGCAAATGAGTTACAAGAAACACTCTTTAAGTTAGTAAGACTCATAAACTTTCTGGAGGTTTCATCTCTTAACTAGACATAGCACAAACACCACTGATGCAAACAAAAGAAGAGAGCCTTTGGCATGGGAACTCTGAGACTAGCTATTTATCCCCCAAGTTTAGGTGGGCTGTGTGGTGAAAAGTGTGTCCACCTGTCTATTTGTAAAATCTTGTCTATCAATGTCAATGGAATTTCATACCACTTGGTAGATATACAGTGATCCCTCGGTTAACGAATTACCTTCCATAAGATTCTTCACTTCGGTTAACGAGCAAACCCTCGGTTAACGAATTCCTTATGAATTTTTCCCAACATGTTTTCGCCTGCTCACCAGCTGTAGTATTAGTACGTCAATACAGTACAGTGACCCCTCGTTTAACGAACGCCTCGGTTAACGAAATTTCGGTTAACGAACTGCCTTCCGTAAGGATCTTCAATTCGGTTAACGAACAAAAATTCGGTTAACGAATTTCTTACGAACCGACCTCAACATGTTTTCGCTTGCACTGACCGGGCAACCAGCTTTAGTATCAGTCCGCCAATACATTAATCGGTTCTAGGGCTTAAATTCCATACTATTTTAGTAAATATCAAGAAGTTTATACTATTCAATAATTTTAAAAGTTTAATATTAACTTTTTTAGTCATTTTAACAATTATTGAACATAATTGAAGGTAAAGAAACTAGTTTCTGGCGTGCCATCCAGCCTGTTAACACACCAGACAGGCGTTAGTCTCTCTCTGTTTTCAGTGGAGGTAACATCTTGCTTGAGACTCTCTTCAACTAAATGCTTTTTTCTGTGTTTCCAAGCAAATTATTGGTCATTTTGAAATATATTTTACATATTGACAATATATAATGCAGTGCAGTGTTGATTTAAAGAAAATAATCTTGAAATACACCAAGAGAACTAAAATTTTATGGATGAAATGGTGCCATGGGGTGACTTCTCTTCCACCCCAATGCCTTTTCTTCTTCCTTCTCCTCCACCCCCATTCTAATTCCCATCATCATCATCATCATCCAGGAGCCTTCTACATACACACCTCAAAGTAAGTGAACTTTTCTACCATTTTTGTTGAATTTAGGCAAATCTCGGTGAGCTGGAACCAATTACCCAAAAACCCATTGAAACAATGGTTTCGGTTAACGAACGACCTTCTGGAACGGATTGAGTTCGTTAACCGAGGGGTCACTGTACTCAGTTTTAGGGCTTAAATTCGTTACCATTTGAGTAAATATCAAGAAGGTTGTACTATTCAATAATTTTCCAATTCTTATATTAAAGTTTTTAGTAATTTTAACAATTATTTAACATAATTGAAGTACAGGGAACTAGTTTTTAGCGTGCCAAACAGCCACTCAACACACCCAAAATGGCGTCAGTGTGTGTCCCTGCTCAGAGGAGGAAGCATCTTGCTTCAGACTCCCTTGAACATAAAATATTTTTACATTTTTACAGTACAATTATTGGTCATTCTGAAGTTTAGTTTACATATTGACAATATATAATGCAGTGCAGTGTTGATTTAAAGAAAATAATCTTGAATTCCACCAAGTGAACTAAGATTTTATGGGTGAAATGGCGGCATGGGGTGACTTCTCTTCCACCCCACTGCCTTCTCTTCTCCCTTCTCCTCCACCCCCATTCTAATTCCCATCATCATCAACCAGGAGCCTTCTACATGCACACCTCAAAGTAAGTGTACTTTACTGCATTTATTTTTAGTTTGTATGTAATTTTCGGTGAGCTGGAACCAATTACCCAAAAACCCATTGAAACAATGGTTTCGGTTAACGAATTTTTCAGTTAACGAGCAACCTTCTGGAACAAATTGTGCTAATTAACCGAGGGGCCACTGTAGTGTATGTGGATTAATGATGTGGAAGTTCCATGACGGTGAAGCTTTTCTTTCTGATGAGGTTTGGTTCCTCTGTTATCCAAAAAGCCACACACAGGGGGATACAAAATATTCAGATGGCTCTTGTTAAATTCAGGGACATTAACAAGGTATAAACTCTAGTACAAATCACATTCCCAAAAACATAAGACAAAATTTACTTATCATTAGGTTTATAAAAAAAAATAAATGATATTTGATATTACTGCCTATGAATTCTTTACTTTTCAAGAAATCTGAATCAAGTTAAAGGAATGAAAATTATCCCACGGTTACACATTGTGAATAGAATATATACTATACCTGTACTCCAATTACAAATTCACAAATTTAATTTTTAACTATACACACTGTACTATAAGCAACTAGGACAAGACGTTCTTGTTAAAAAGGTGACTTTTAACAGGTAATATATTTCTTTTTCTTTTTTACAGAGAATATGGTACAGAACACAATAAATGTATCCACTTTAACCTGGAAATAATTATGTCAGTTGTAATGTATATACAAAATCAAGCCTTCAGTGAAGAAACATGATGCAGTACCAAATGCCTAAATTTCAGCACACATAAGTTTTAGCAAGATGCTCATCATTACCCACCAAGAACATCACAAGGCAGCTCCACAAAATCAATCTAGAACTATGTACTGTATGTACTGTATATTAATCCCCTATCCTCCACACATATTGGCAATACAGATTCTTGTACAAGGTTTTCACTTTTGGTTAAGGCAAGAAGACCAAGAGAGCATATCATGAGGTTGACTCAAATGTTGTAAATCATTAAAACACTGGACAAACAATAGTGACTGAGTGATGGAATGAATGCAGGTAAGCTTAGATGTTAAATAAGACTGAAGTCATACTTTGTGTATTGTTAGATAAGAGAAGATTTTTCTCCTGGAATAATTTGAACCTCTAGCTCTGACAGTCAGTCAAATCAGTCAATTTCAGCAGCAGTTAATTCAAAGTGAAAACCCTGCTTGTACAGTACATGCAGTAATACTTTCTATGTATAAGCTTTCAAATCACTTCAATCAAAGTATGTACAGTATACTGTACCATATATATTATTTTCTCAACCATCTACTCACTGCATTTACCAATATATTAAACCATTCAATGCAGTTGGTCTGAATTTCAAGTATAGCCTTAATACAGTAATACCCCGATTTACGTGGTCAATTGAACCTGCAGAGGTCCCCGTAAAATGAGAAACGCGTAAATGGAATAACAGAACATATGGGATTAACTGAAATAGAGACTGGGCCGACTCCCAAACTCCACTTTTTCCGACACAATACCTATGTTGTAGTAAAAATAACATATTAATTTTATGATGGTATGCACACAATTAATATTTAAGAGAAATACAGTCGCCAGGTTAATGTCCATTCAAATAATGGACTCAACTCCCCCCTCTTCCCACGCTCGCTGGCTCCTCCCTCTCTGAGAAATGTTTGGGTGAAAACACTAGATTTTAAGGTATAGTAATAAATATTACCTCAAACTAAAGTTAGGATAATATAATTGACATTGCTGGATTCCTTGCAAGACCAGGAATATTTTGAATATACACGTCATATATTTTGCACAAAAGATAACATATTTGCTCTGAGTAAAAAAAATTCTTACATTAGATCTAAAATTTGTATGTCTAATGCAAAATTTATGATGTTTATATTCAAAATGATCATCATATTGTAAGAATTCCAGCAATGTAAATCATATTCTGGCTGGGTAATTTGTATGAATTTTATGAGCTAAATAAAAAAATTATACTTCACCCGCGTATATAAGTAGATGCACAGCATAAAGTGGGAATTCCAGTTCTGGCAGGGTACCGCGTAAATGTAGAAACGCGTAAACAAGAACCGCGTAAAGCGGGATATTACTGTAATGGGTTTCCATTTACATACATGGCATGTATACAGTGAATGGGTTAATCCCTTCATTACCACAAACCAAAACCACAGTACAGTAATGTATTTACAAACTGTTACCATAGATATGGTATGATTGTACCATAGCTTTGGTATGTGGTACAGAAGTGGTTATTTACGGTACTCAAACTATGGTGGTGCTAAAACACTTGTTTAATAATTTTCTTGAGAAAGCAGTTTAGCGTTGTTTGCTTTCATATGAAATGACAGAAAAGAACAAATGAGTGTTTCAGCTGTAATATGAAAGACATTGCAGAGACAGAGTTTCATTATAGCAAGGAAACAAAGTTTGTATAATGCATAGATACAATAGTTTGAGAACTTAGACTGAAGCAAAACTGATAATGTACAAAGTACCACCAATGGAGACTGCAGTATGTACATGGCCAAAGAAAGTGAGCCTTGGAAGACAAAATCCATATGGAGTAACATTTTCTATAAGACCTGAAAGGAGTACTTTTATGGGTGATTATCATCACTCTATTATTTAAAAATTTTACAGTATCCTATGTAGTAAATGAAGTTAATGTACAATTAATTTTCTCTTCTTTTTTCATATTTCTGGTAGTAAGGAAATATGATTTTTTTTAGGCTATTTAATGTAAAATAATACTCCAAACTGAAGTTCTATTAATAATTTGGGAGTAAATTCACCAGGAACATGAGCTACCTAGATGATGAGGCAACCTCAGGGATGGACTTACCAGAGATGGGTGCGCCCACCATAGATGCAGAACCACGGAAGAGGATGAGCAGCCCAAAGGCATTGGTGAGCTGCGACAGGCCAAGAAGTTGTACCAAGATGATGGATGAGAGGGAGATGTAGGCCGCTGCAATAGAGCCCTTCTGAGGTTAGTGCGCGTGTTTCTACCTATTTCTACCCACTACAGTACTTTGCTTACATTACCAATACAGTTGCTATAGAGCAGATGTTACTTCAGCCATTAGACTCTTATGCCAAGCAGAGCGCACCTGAAAAAGCTGCTGAAAATTAGAAGGTATTTCCCTTATGTACAGTGCCCAAAAATACCGAACTCGAGGAGTACCAAAGTAGTTCTTGATTGTTCCATTGTTTAGAATATAAATTATGCGTGACTCATCTGTTTTCCTTCAAGCCAAGCCTTTTCCTTGAGGAGTTTGTTGTAGGCAGTGCATCTAAAAAAAAAATGCATCAGCTTACTAAAGCAACACAATGAACCAGAACTCACAATGTGGACAGAAGATCTGGAATTTCAGCACGCCATACTTAATGTTTATTGGGGGGTAATAGTCACTGTCATTTCAATTAGTGAAGGACTGATCTTGAAGTCATATTTTCTAACAGAGCTGGTGAGGGTGACTGTACAGTAAGCACATCTAAAGGTTGAAATAAAGTTTCCCATAGACTTAAACCTTAGACTGGGAATCTTAAAACTGAATAAATTCAAGTCAGAAAATTATTTACCATCACACCATATTGTAATAAAAGAGACACTTGCTATGAAGGCACCCTAGATTTTCATGGAGGTTACTTTCTTATTGTACAATGGCCTTTTCAATCACACTCTTTTAGAGGGGTTCTACTTTCCTCAAGTAAAGAGAGAGATAACTGTAGCTTGATTATAATTATTCAAAATATAGTTAAGAATCTTAACAAATACTCCACAAATTCAAGGAGGTAAGACAATTCAAAGGGCAACAATCATTGCAAATTGGTAAAAAACAATTTTATGATCAACTAAATCATGGAGGCAGATCTCATCCCATGACAGAGTGTACTTCTGCCCTACTGGTTCATCTACATTAATGAAACCCTTTTACTACATATTAAGATTTAACTTGATCAATAATGCCATTCAATTATAACTAACATTCTTATTCATTGCAATAGCAAAGTTGACAAATTAAAAAAAAACATATACAGTATTTCAAATGAGAAAACTAGGTTTAGTTAGCCTACAATTGTTCATTGAACGACTTGGCAGGAAAACTGGTCAGGGACACAACTGCTCTCACTGAATAACCATAATTCAGAGTTGGTCAGTTTGTATATTCTGTTAACAAGCACAAGGGGACACTCAGTACTGCACTTTATTTCCACTTCAGTAGGGCCAGCTGTAGCTAGAAGTGGATTAAGCAGTTGCTCATGGCCCCAAGAGTCCCTCGGGGCTCCTTAGCAATCCTAGTGTAAATAAAAATAGTCACGAGCAAACAGAGAACCTGATTTCATGGAATGTGTTTGAAATGTGTCTGAAAAAAAGAAAAAAAAAGATATGTATTGATCACATTGAAATACTTATGCTTTAACATGAGAAAAAACATTGGTAGGATGTTCTAGAAAGGCTGGTTGTTTTATTACAGTACTGTACAGTACTGTATTGATCACATTGAGATACTTATGCTTTAACATGAGAAAAAATTTTGGTAGGATGTTCTAGAAAGGTTGGTTGTTTTATTACAGTACTGTACAGTACTGTACTGTACTGTACTGTACATTTGCTTATTGAAAGAAACCTTGCTCTCCATGACACTTAAGAAACTTTGTACAAGCCAAACAATGGTAACTTCCTGAAAATTACCATTGCTGGAGGTCAGAGAGACATCCACTGATGCTATTGCTGAAGGAGAAGCTCAAACTTTGCCTTGACAGGCTGCAGAAAAAAATTATTTTACAACAGCACTAATATAAACAAAAGAAATCTGTGAAGAAATTAGTGTAAAGCTTCTTTTGAAAGATAGAAAAGGCTCAAAAACACCAAGAGACAGTTTGCCTGATGAGCTCATCAGTGATACACTGAAGATGCTAGAAACAGGACTTTTTAATGTGATCACAGACACTGCCATTGTATCTCAAGAGAACAGATTCACAACACTGGACCAGATGAAAGAGAAGTTTGAGCTTATGCTAAACTTCAACAAAATACAAGAAATGTGAACCGAGTCATTAAAACACAACGTGAAGTCTTTAAGAAACACTCGGAGCTCTGATGATGAATCACATATTGATGAAAAGCAATTAATACAAGAAATTCTAAATTTGTCAGATTTGCCATCACGGAACATGACAATACTGGAAGTACTGTACAGTACTCTCTTTCATCCACGAGAAACTGCTGAAAGCACTATACCCAAAACCTGCTGGTTGCACTGAGGATTGCTGTCACTCTCCCAGTGACAGAGGTTGTAGCAGAGAGGAACTTCTCAAAACTTAAGTTTGTAAAACCATACCTGAGACTGTCAATGGCTCACGATCACCTGAGTGAGCTTATCATAATCAGCATCAACCATGAGCTAGTAGGACAGTAGCTATCATATGACAACTAATGATTTTGCTTCAAAGAAATGTAAGTGACATAAGTTTTGAAGGTACCAGGTGTGATATTTATTGATGTGTTGACTGTCACACAACTGTTTATTGTTGTGTTGGTTATCACACAAATGTTGATTAATATTTTTGTTATCACACAACTGTTTATTGATACTGTATGCTGGTTATCACACAAGTGTTGATTGATATGTTGGTTAACAAACAACTGTACAGTATATTGAAATTTTGGTTATCACACAACTGTTGATTGATATGTAGGTTATCACACAACTTAATAAGACAAGTTTTGATGTGAGAAAGGTTCTAAAGGGAGAGAGAAGAGTAACACAATTAGGATTTCTTGTTTAGGGCCCCCAAATTGCTCTAGAACTAATGGCCCTGCACTTGGGATAACTTTCAAGCTTCTGAAGCTAAATACTCAACCTGAGTATCAAGAGTTACTGTTGGTGTAAAAAAGTTCCTATTAACCAAACACTGGCTAACTATCAAACTAATATCACTAACATTAAAGGAACATAATATTGATATCTGGGACTTTGTGGCCACTAGTCAACACAATCTAGTGAAATGTGAACGTAGCAGTAACACACGTATCTCTGGGTTTTATCCCTGGCCCGGACAGATGTGAAAAGGGTGTTATCACTACCAAACATGGCAAATTTTCTCTGGGTGCTCTGGTTTCCTCCTGTACTAACACTGGACAATGAAGATCATAACAAAGAACAGACCAACCACCTGAAAAGCTATTCAGCTGATAAATAGTGAAATAATACTCAAAATAGAGGCACTGTAACTGGGAACTTAGGTAGTCTAGCTCTCATGGTTGTCTCACTGAGCAGCAAAGACTCAAGCTTTCAGGTTAACTTAATACAAAATGTCCTCTTTACTGGAATATGGTGTGATGGTGAAGGATTTTCTAATTACAGTATTCAATTAATTAATCTTAGAGACCTAGTTTCATATCTTAATCCATGGAATCTTGTTTTTAACCCATACACTTGCTAGCGATACAGAGTTGTCCTGGGCCAGCATTAGGTTAGAAATACCCCCTGTACTGTACAGTCAGGTAGTCATACGTTACAGTCAAACAAAAGTCTTTTCCAAAGTGTAGTGGACTTTAAAATTCCACAACACTAATGAAGTAAAATGTCTGGGAAAAAAAGAAGAAAAAATTACTTTCATGACCATTTACCACTGAGGTGATTATCGCAAATTTCAGTCAAAAGTAAAATAGTTCAGTTTAGTCACAAATGCCAACATCAAAAAGCAACGTAAATATGTCTGGGATGGATAATGTTACCATGAACAGACAGTTAGGATTATATTTAAATAATATACAGATTCTTTATACACTGTACCCTTGTTAATTCGGATCGTTATACAGTAATTTGGATTTTGGCTTAATTTGGATGTTTTTTCCAAAATGGTATTAAATGATTTGAATTTGTAATGAATATTGAAATAACTGAGTGGTTCTGAAAAGTCGTGCGGCAATGGGCTTGAAATTTTAGTCTCGTCAATTCACTGTGCTCTCGTGGCTCCCTAAGCAGGCGTGAGTCAGGTGTCATCCCACTTCGACGATTGTATTTTCTGTGCAGTTTTTGCCACCCTACATGGACGATTATTATTGGAATATATTATAAAACAGATTAAAGTGAATGAGATATAGGAATAAAATATGAATTATATTGAGATACAAGACTATGTTTGGGTGTTTAGCTGGGGAGAGAAGGTGGTGGAGGAGGAGCGAGGGAATGCTAGCTAGACCGAGAGGACAACTCGTCTCCCGCGATCCTTTCATAATGACAGCATGCCATTTCATCTTAATTCCCATATTATTTTGGTTCATTTGGTGCCAGGTTAATAAAACAATATCAAAAAATAATTAATTTTCCCCCCAAAATACCACAGTCAATCCCAGATGAGCTATTGCACCATAGTACAGCGTATATTCCCAGTCTATGGTTGACAGAGCGGTAATAGCTGATCATTCCTGCTCTCCCTAACAATGTTGCCAGCACTCACCATCTCTTAAGCACCATTGTTGTCACTGCTCAAGAGGGTTGATGCTTACCACAGGATCTGTCTTAAGCACTTAGTAAATAATATTGTAGCATATTATTCAGAACTTAATCAATATTATTGTTGTGTATAATATGTCTCCATATGCCTTGGTTTATTCACTGATCAGTTGTCTAAGTGCAAAAGTAACCAAATCGAGCCATCATGTATCAATTAATTTTAAAATAGAAATAAAAAAAATTAATGTTATAAGATAATGGTTTAGTAGTGCTGTTACTGTGTGTGCAGTGTATGTGCTTCATCACATCACCTTTTGCCTCATAACCTCACCCTTGACTCCTCACCTCATCACCTCACCTCATAGAATGTTACAGTTATTCATTACTGTACAGCATTAGTATTTACTTTATTATTACTCAATGTACATTTAAAAAATATTTTTTTGCACAGTAATTACATATCGATTTTAAGTGGCAGCCAAGGCATGGCAAGGTGCAAAACTGAACAGTAAATGAACGAATAATCGAACTCAAGAATTCAAAAGTTGTTGAATAATGTCAAAATATTCCAAACTCAGTTAATTCAAAATTTCTGTAATTCGAGTGACCCAGAGCCCCCTTTTTTCTGTCAAATTAACAAGGGTATGGTGAACTGTAATTTATATACAGGAGCCGATTTTAGGGTGGAGCTGGCTAGTGGCCTGTTCAATATGATGGCCCTCTTAAATTTGATCTGGTGTTCATAATGAGTTCAAGCATTGTATTTCTACAGAATAGTCAGCTTGATATAGTGGAGGTACAATACCTGGATCCATGCATATGTCAAAGTTATAAGTAGTTAAAATTGTCCGTGTACGTAGTACCTTGTGAGTTCCATACTCTGTTATCTACTATACAATAGTAATGCCTTAGCTTGGGTGTAGTCATTACTTGGTGTAAATCATTTCAGTCAGTTTGTCTTGCATAAGATAAGTCAGTAACACAAAGCAGCAGGAAAAGTAAACAAAGAAGGTTATGAACATAAAGGACCATTAACAACACCACTACACCATCAATATTATCACCACCAGCAACACCACCACCAGCAGCACCACCAGTTATTACTACTCTTGCTGGAAGGCTGTTTCTAACCAAGTCGAGGCAGGCAGTGTGTGGCCTAGGTACCTGACACTGGTGGGCCCAAGATCCCGGCCACGCCACGGAAGATACACAGGAGACCAAAGGCATTGGTGAGTTGCCTGAGGCTTAGCAGGTCCACAATGATGATGGACGTGAGGGCGATGAACGGAGCTGGCAAAATACCACAAACATGAGGGTTGGAGGAAAATAACAACACCAGACCACTCACATGTTACACTTCACTGTTTCAATAAATGAATAATATACAATGCAGTATATGTATGGAAAAAGCCTTAATATATAATACAACACTTTATTTTCATCTCCCATATATAATCATGTGAAGGTGAGTGGAGAACCCATAAATAACTTGTCACAAACATAAACACTTGGTGATCATGCTTGTTCTCATTACAAGGGATTGTAAGCAGGTGGGAAAAACCCAATGATTCTTCACTTAAACACATGCAGGTAAGCAAGAAGATGTGGTGTTGTATTAATATATAGTATATAAAGTTTTCCCAATCAAAATGAAAACACTGTCTCTACACAGTTTTACTGTTGGTGATTCCTTAATATTTCACAGGTAGATGGCAAATGGTAAGATATTCCCTTCCCCTGCCCTCTCCTGCAGCAGTATCACTCACTCAGCTACTCTGCAATCTCAAAACTTTGGCAGTGTTAGTACCGGGCAGTACCGGGCAGTTATTTTTTATGTACTGTACAGTACAGTACATGTAGTAAGATGGGAGTAATATAATTTTTTCAACTTTTAATTAATCATTCATTACACACAGTAATAACACTCTGTTGGCAATTAGAAGGACTGATCCTGAATTTCTGTTTTCGAAATGAGCCAGGATGAGGCAACTCAATATAGTGTGTGACTGAAACCTAAAAAAACAATAGATTAAAAAATTAAAATAATTATTACCTTAACACTGGATTCCAAAGAAGACACTTGGTATAAAGTTACTGTACCCAGAAAAGAGAAAAGGCTCAAGTCCTTGTCCTCATGTAAGCATATGTGTGTTTCTCAGTCCTCTATTGTTTGCCTCAGTTAGACAACCATGAGGGCATGGCCAACACCTCTGCTTCCAGAAAGCTCCAAAAGCTTACACAGAATAGCACCCAAGTCTGGGAGTCACTACTGTACCTAATTTAAAACTTGTAGTAGAATTTAAATTAGCCTTACAGACCACCAGGTCTTACACAATCCACATCAGTAGTACATTACAGAGGTGTTGATCCAGCTCTCCTGGTTGCCTAACTAAGACAAACAACTGAAACTGAACAGTTCACATGTCCTTATGAAGCTACAAAGACTCTCAAGCCTTTTTCCATTTCAGAGTAACTTCATATCATGCTTCTCCTTCATTGGAATCCAATGTGATAGTGAAGGACTTCCTAATATTTTTATTAAAACAATTCTTGTATTCCAATTACAACTCAGGATTCTTGGTAGCTCAAGTTTCAACTAATAGCCATGCTAGCTAAAAGTTGCCCATGACCAGCACTAAGTTAGAAGAAACTTAACAAATCTATAAAGTGGCACATATAACATACTCTACACACACCATTATTCCCAGTTTTGAACCCTCACTGCAAAGTCACACAACTGTTATTTAATATACAATGGTTATGAAAATGCCTGCAGCTGCCATTTTCCCTACTCTTTCCCTACCTTTGTACTAAGGTATTACATCAAGGTATCCTCACTAACCTCTGATGCCTTCTCCCCTTTCATCCCAACTTCTACAGTTCTTTTGTTACTGTGAGAAGAAAGCAACATTTTCTTCTTGTATTTATTCATGAATTAATGGTGGAGGTTGTCACAGTGAACATAAACAAGCCAAGTGTGAACATATAATTCCTTCCATTCTTTTGTTGCGCAGCTGACACACATACTGTAGTTAGAGAGTTAGTTACTGCAGTAAATGATTATAAATATTTATACTGTAGAGATGACCAGGACCTCTCTCCCCATATACATGATATCAGTGATTGATTTATGATACTGTACATGACTAATGTTGGTGAATGAATATGATAATGAGCAGGTGCTAATATAATACATAAAATAATAACTTAAGACAGAGAGAGAAAATCCTGATTCACTCAACATGTATTCCAATGTTCTTACTTTGAAATAAAATAAAATAAAATAAGGCTGATAGGTTTAGAACACTGCATGCATCAAAGGTACTATATACTGTACTGTAAGAAGTGCAGAAGGTGCACACGTACTGTACTACCTTAACCCCTTAGGAAAAAAGACAGCATAGAAGAAGGTGGCAAGTGCTGACGAAAACAGTATGAAAATATTACTATACAGTACAGTATATGTTTGTAAAAGGTAAAGATGACCACTCACAAGAGCATGAATAAAATGCTTTCTCTTTCTCCTACTCTCTCAAGAGATAAAAATGAGGGATAATAATGTACACAGGCAGCACATCCCTTGCCAGGAAGTGTGTATGGACAGGAGGATCATGGATATTTTTGCTGGTATTCAAGAGTGGAGATCTCCCATAAAGAAGATAAATACAGAACATATTATAGTACAGGTATCTACATTATGCTGTATCTAATCTCTATGTTGATTTTTCAGCAGGATGGTGGTGATCAGTTTTATATAATAATCTATACAGTAAACCCTTGTTATTCGCGGGGGTTGTTCCAAGGAATGGTGTGAATAGACAAAGCCGCAAATAATAACTTCTACTACTTAGTGCAGTACGGTATACCTACGCCAAACAACCGACCAGCCGCAGCAGCACTCATCCCTTCTTTTAATTTGTCTAATAATTTAACTTTCTCTGTCAGGGTCATCACTGACTTCTACCTTTTACATTTCACTCCACTAGCATCACTAGCACTGACACTCGGCAGTCTTTTAGGGGCCCCACAGAAACAATGGTTGAGCGTAAACATAGGGAGAGGAGACGCTGCAGGCGCGTGGGGTGACTCGTTACACTGTGGGAAAAGACTTGCAAGCTAGCCACCATCTGCTTACCGCGAATCGTCAAAATCGCGAATGGCAAGGGTCTACTGTAGTATAGTAAAACTTCACATTAATGGGTTCTAATGTATGTGGTATTGAGAGTGAAGTTACCTAGCAATGGGAACAGTCTGTGCTGATGTTATAGCAACACACTCTGCTGTTCTAGCTAGCATGACTGCCTGAGTGTTTGATGAATGAGGCAATTTGATCCAGGTAATGAATCTGAAATTACAGTCAGTGTGGCTTTATGTGGTGACTCTCAAAGCAGCTTGTTTCAAACCAACAAGTGCAATCATGTAGAAACAGGTTAGGGCACAATTTAAAACAGCTGAATGAAATATCTTTACTATTGTTAATACAGTAACTTTTTTACTCATGATAAACCCCAACATTTACAATGAGCTTTGCCCATATCCAACGTAACAACACCAAAGACCTCTTGGTGATCATATATGGTGATTACTGGTAAAAATATTGGATGTAATTTCTGGATTTAGGCCCAAGTTAGTGTAATAATGTAAATTTCTACTGTGTTCTCATTTTAAGAATTATTATGGAATTTTACCTATGTATTACAATAATAAAGCATTAGTACTGTACTACTCTTGTTGCATACACACTATACAGTATATTGTAGGTATGTTTGGTTTCATCGAATTTAGTGCATCAAAAACAGGCAATCGTGACATCGTAATATGATGAACTTCCAGGTAAATAACTAGTGTACTTATGAATGCAAAAATCTAATAAAATAATAACAAGAAAAATAATGTTGTTTACTTACAAACAAAGAACCCGAAGGCTAATGAGAGCGCAACGAAGGATCCATAGGAGGACGCAAATGGAGTGAAAAAGACGCACACACCAGACAGGATGATACAAATGTTGTTGACCCACAGAGGACTGACCCAGGGCAGGTCAGCAATAAGTCCTGAGAGGACCCTCCCAATAGTGTTGGTGATACCAATGAGGGAGATCAAAAATGTTGCATACTCTGGGTCCACACCCTGAGTGAGAGAATGAAGGGTTGTCATTCATACTATTAAAAAATATAATATTACACCCCTGAAAGAAAGGCTTGTTATGTACACCAACAAAAGATATGAGGCACTCGACCCAAGGAGTAGAAAAGTGACAAAATTAAAAAATTTCCTCAAAATGTTGTTAACCCTTTGGCTTCTGGAGGTTCCCTAAGCTGAATAAAATCATCTGGTGGTAGCCAGAATAAAATTCTGAAGTGTGAAAATTGGCATGAAAGGCTTAAAGATTAGTTATTTTGCATTCAGTAAAATGGAATATTGTACCTGTAATAAAAACATCTCAGTCTCTTTATCACTTGCCTTGTTCTCACCTAGAATGCCTCATACAAAATTTTAATCCTAATGCCACTTCTCAAAAATGTAGTCACAGTGTTGAAGGTTTAACTGGAAAAAGTCAGAGATGCAGCTTAAGCAACATCCATTCATTAATATCAGACTTTAAGGCTTGTCAACCTTTGGTGAAGTTATCAATATGGTGCCTAATACTCTCAATATTTCGCTAAGTTTGCTGGTTTAATTAAAGTGAGTTCTCTCAATCTGGATGCAGTAGGGGTGAATGTTATACTGCACATCTAATCTTAGGTAAATTCAATAAATCATATACAGTATAGAGTGTCATCATTAATTTTAAACTAACACAACATTACAGCACCTTACCTTTTCAATAGCTGCATCAGGTAGATAGACAAATGGAGTATAGAAGCCCAACATGCCGAAGAGATTAGCTACACCGATCAGGAGGAAGATGGGGTTCTTGAGGAGGGAGAAGTCCATCATTTGGCATATAGTTCCCTTGATGGATTCTGGCACACAGCTACAGCTTTCTAGGGATGGCCAAAGGGTGAATGACATAACTGGAGACTGTGTCTTACCTCTGCTGACAATCAATTATGTTAACAATATCTACTATCCACCAGAAGGTTCAACTTTTCTACTCAAAAACAAAAATCTTTCTCAGTTGCAGTGTTTTATTTTATTTTTACAAGATTTTTATCAGGTGACCTTCAAAAAACCTGCAGCTCTCAAAAGGCTCAGCCAACTTATATCTGTAAAATTCTGACCAACTGTTTCAACTCAAATCAGTTCAATTATCCTCCTCTGATGCAGGTGGCAAGAATCAAAAGTAAACAGGCTCTCCGTAATTAACATTACTGTATCTGTATAACCATTAATAAAAGCCCCAGTGTACAGATCCTTCCTCACACAAAACCCTGTTCATAAGGGAGGCATCATCTAAACTAGTTATCCATTTTAAAGCATAATATAAAATTTATAACCTTTCAAATAAAGATTAAAATACAGGTACTAAAAAAAGTGGAATATTTTTTATGAAATGGATAAGGTGATGATGGGGACAAGAGGAACCATTCAATGTTTGTGAAGGCAGGTAAGAGGTTCACCATCAAAACTCTATGTAGTACAGTACATTAATGATGCTCTGGTGGGAGATTGTAGTCTAGAACATGTTGGCCCAGTTTTATTTACAAACACACACAAAAAACTAACCTGTTCCCTCTTCTGGTCCATCTAGAGCATCAAGAACAACTCTCGAAGCACCAGTTCCCTGTAGGTTGAGGGAAGACTCCCGGTATGACAACATTGATGCTTGTGACTTGAATTCCCGTAGATTGGCAATACTGCCTGAGTAAAAGATATCTTGGCGTGACATTGGACGAAGCATCATGGACTTCTGTAAAGTACAAACAAAATTATAAAAAAAAAACAGGAATGATTCCAATGACCAAAAATTTTTAACAGTAAAATTTAGAGATAATATATCTCATAGAATGATTTAGGCCAACTTTTAGTATAATGATTTAGGCCAACTTTTAGTATAAGTTTATGGTTCAGATTTTATAACAAATAACTGATGCAATTACTGTGACCAAGCACTGTGATCTTGCTTCATATTTCCCTTTCTATATTTTCACTTCTAATTTTACTTTCTATACGGTACTTCTCTCTTCCCTTTTAAATATATTCAACTCCAGAGGTATTGTAAGGTTGCTTCTGAGTACCTCAATAATTAGGCATCTTCACTCTAATGACCATCAAATACACCTTTAATTTGCTCTCAACAGTTGCAAATTGCATGAGTACACTCGATCTGTCAACATCACTACAACAACTGTATAAGTACATTAGTATATACAGTGCTGTACTGTACAGTATGTAATAAAAGTTCACTTTATGTGAGAAATCTTCCATTCAGAGTTTAACAAGGTTTCCCCAATTTGATTTCTTTCAGTTATATTCACATCTCTCAACAACACTGCAGTACTATACTTACAAATGAAAATGTTATGTCTATATAATACAGTAGTGTTTTGTATGTACAGTATAATAAATTGCTGTATCTTGCTATTATAAATTAGATTATTCTTTATGGTACTGTAGTTGTAATCTTGAAAAGGATGTTCAGCTCAACTCTTTATGAGAGTATCAACCTTTCATCACCACTTGGGTTAAGTACTCACTGAAGATGGCCGTCTTTGGCGAAGTCCAGCTGCCTCCGGGTCAATAAAAGAAGTATTAGAATTTACACGACCGTAGCCACCAGACATACGACGCATTTCTTGAGATCCTAGTGCACGTAAATTTGATGATGATGCTTTGGGGGTGGCAGGGACGACCTGATGTGGAAAGTTGAAGAGAATTACATTACATTCATCTGTACTAAGTGTTGAGTGGTTAGGTGGCTATAAAAAAAACTACTATATAGCTTAACATTACTCTGCATGCTGAATTATTATGCAGTACTGTACTGTGCTGTACTCACATAAAAGGTGAGAACAAAGAATAAAACACAAAAATATACAAATGTTAGTTTATTCATTACAGGAGCTAAAATGCATAAAAGAAAGCTTCTGTTTTCAGGATTCTAAAACATAAGGAAAATTAATGCAATATTTACCAATCTTTGCAGAGTAAATCAACAAATTCTGCAGAAAACAGTGATGATAAAATATCAAGATGCCATAGTTAAAATTGTACACTATTCCAAATTACTATGGTCACTACTGTACTGTACCTTCATTAGGCTTGCAACCTCCACTTTAGAAAATCTTCTTTCAAAATTGGGGACGGATCCATTTTTGGGGAAAAAGGTAGCAGACCCCTGAGCCATGACAGGTTGGGAACAATTGCGTGGTATCTTGGCAGAAGTGGCCACAGTGGGAACACGAGCTGGTACAATGGGCGGCACTGTGCTGTTGGTATCTCCTCCATTTACCAAAATCTGCTTTTCATCTACACCTGAAGTCCATAATATTATATAAATATTATAACCTGAGGTAAGTCAGGTACAAAAAGAATACTGCATATAAAAAAACATGACATTTAAACACCTATATACAGGGGGTAACTTACAAAGTGTCAAGTTCCTACATTTCTTGTATCTAATATAGTACAGGTAATTGCAATGAAGAGTACAGTACAGTACCAGCAATAAATTTACAGTATGTTCTCTAAACATTATAAATGTACTAGTGAACATAGACCAGTAATATATACTGTACATGCAATGGGAAAATATTTGTCCCTAGAAGGGGACACAATTGGTATGATAATTAGTTCTACTGAAATTGCAAAAAATTGTGGTTTCCCATGTCTATGATAAACATACCCTCAGGATGCTCTAGGTCAGCAGTATTGGGAGAAGATGGGTCAATTTCCTTCTCAGATGCAGCTAAGGGTGATTCCTGGTCAGGAGGAGTGTTACCCTGTGTCTCCTGAATGGTAGGTAGAACCAAGTTTGTTGAGACAGGGGTGAGGTAGCCAGAAAGATTGAGATGTGAATGTACTCCAGGGTCAGCATTCATGGCTCTCTGAGAAATGAGAAAGAGAGTTGTAAGTAACCTGAGCAACACGTCCTAAGTTTATGATTCACATGAACACAAATACGTGGAAAAACATTCACAAACATAACCTAATTTAGACTATTCAAAAACTGTGTCTACATCCTATGACTTTTTTCCAAGTCAAATTTGTGACTATTTTACTTTTTTTGAGACTTTCTTCTAACACTGAACACAATCATGATCACTCTACCTAAGTGTTTTAAGCGTTCATTTTCTCTTTCTCCCAATAAAATTATTCCATTCCTACCTTAACTAATTAAATAACTAAAGTAAGTCTTTTCATTCTCACAGATATCTATTTGAGCCCAATTTTATGCACAGATTCAATTACAAAGACATTACTTTATGCCCACACTTATTCCTGTCTGTCACTCTAAATGTTACTCATGCACCTTGGCTTGTCTCTCTACAGTGCCATCAGGATGAGTGTAGGTAATGTAGTTGGAATCACAGAAGGACCCAGCTTTCAGTGCAGCGCGCTTCTCCTCTGCCAACCGTTGCATCAGGTCCTTCTTCTTCATCCTTGGCACCTCCAGAGGTCTCATAAGGGCACCAAAGCACTGAATGGGCCATAAAACAAATTCTTCAGTAGGGTAGGATTAGTGTATGATAATGGTAAAGACATTTATATGTACAGTTTGCTATATGAACTCTTAATATAAATAAAGAAGTCATATATAAATCGCAGATGACAGCACATTAATAGTTTCACAGCTGAGACATTATTAGGGGGAGAATATAATTAACACCTATTTTATATTATGAATTCATGATTATATCACTTTAAATTTTTAATGGTCTACAAAAGTACCAATTAAAATAAAAATTCTTTTACCACTTTATTAAAATCTTGGATGTAAACTTACACAGCAGTTTACAATCAATCCAGCTATGAGTAAATTAGTTCCTTGCCAAGAATATACTGAAATAAGATAATTAAGGAGAGGTGGGAAGATCATGGTGCCGACCCCAGAGCCACAGACAGCAATTCCTGTTGCGACAGCTCGCTTGGTCTCAAAGTAGTAGCCCACACACACCACTGCTGGGAGGTAGATGAGCCCAAACCCAAGTCCTGAGAGAAAGAGAGAGAAGAATAAAACACATTACTGTACAAGGCTCCAGCATTACCAGCTTAGGTCAGGCCTTATACACACTTCCTGATTAGTGAATTTTCATATTACAATTCTATCTTTTTATCATTTCACTAATTATCAGCTTACTAGCCATTCCAGTGGTAGGTCTGTTCTTTGTTACCTTGTCTAGTGTTAGTACAGGAGGAAACTGGAATACCCAGAGAAATTTGTAATGTCTGGCAGGGTCACATTGGATAGCATCCTTGTTATATGATCCAGGGATTTATACCCAGGACCAGTGGTGAGAGGTGAGCACACTACTGCTACACCATTAATACCCAACAGACATTAACATACTTGTAATACTTGTAATACTTACATTTATTTAACTGGCATCAATTAAGCATTTCATGATGATTAGGTATTACATGGATGGACTCAACTTATGTCGAGTCCTGAACATTCATATACTGTACAAACTAATTTGAGTTTTGCATACCTTTCCAGACCACCTGAAGAATAGAACCCCTGTCTCTTTCACTCCTCCAGTTAGTATTAAAGACATGAATCTACAGGTGAAATAAAATGGAGTGTCTAATCTTCATGTGATTTCCCCAACTATGATGCAGTGGTCAGAAGCAAAAACACCTGAAGAATCTCCACCGCAGCTTATTTCACCAAAAGATTAACCACCCTAATGCTAACCTAACATTACCAGTATATTCCCCCCACCCTAATGCTAACCTACCTTATACCCCCCCCCAACCCCAAGAGTTTTAGGGAGGTTAATCTTTAGGTGAAATAATCTGGGGTGGAGATTCTTCAGGTGATCCCATGTTTCATTCAATCTGTTGCTTCAAATACGTAAATCTACACAAAGTATCAATAAAAGTGGAACTCAAAAGTATTAATAAAATACCCAAAAGTATCAATAAAGGTTTAACTCAAAATTAATAATAAAAGAGTAACTCAATACAGTACCTCAAAAGTATCAATAAGAGTAACCCAATAAAAAGTATAATGCATAAAAACAGGTTTGTGTTTATTCTTACAATTTATAAATACTGTAGTCTTAACAACCATTCATACCTCCTATAACTCCCTGGAAGATCATAAGATATTCGACGGAGGTTGCGAAGCAGGAGAGAAAATAAGCCATAGATGCGATGACACCTCCCAAAATACACACTTTACGACACCCAAACTTGTTGGACAACGCTGACACAAGAGGACCTGTGGGCGGGAACATATTTAACTTCTATGTAAAACTGAACAAGACAGTTTATGAATTAATAATTATCAAACAAAACGGAAAATACGTGAAAATTACAAAATTTTTCTCCATTATAACAGAATTCGCATTGTATATAAAGCATTTTTGACATACCAGCACTGAGGTAAACTCCAGCCAGAAGAGAAGGAATCCAAGCAACTTTTCCTTTGGGAGCATCGAAATGCTTGGAGAGGGCTTCAAGGAAGGGACTAAAAGAATAAGCAATACCATCCACTATCGCATTACATAAGAAGGACGCCACCACGATGACCCAGCCCCATCCCCCGTCAGGAGGAGGGGGTAACTCTGCTGGCAGTGAGGTGATGGAGCCTGCGTCATCATCATCATAATCATAATGTTCTCCATGATGACCATCGTCTCGACCCTCAAATTCACTCTGTGGATAAGACAAAAAAGAAATATTTGTAATTAAAAATATATGAATCTATATTGCGAGATTAATATATACTTTTACAATGATTTAAAAGATGATAAAAAAAATAACAGAATAATAAAATACGTGACACTTAAAACTAGGTGGTTTTAATTGTCACCAAAAATAGTCATTTAAAACCAAACATTGTGGATGAAGTAATACCTGTTGATGAATAAAGCAATAGCAAGTAAAAGGATAAATAGTATAATATTTTCTCAAGGGTACAAAGCCAGTAACATAGATGCGATTGAATTCCCAAAAACAAAAATATACGCAAATTGGAAAAGGTCTGGCTGGATAAGTAATTAATAGGTTTATGGGCAATTTGCTTAAAAAGTGTCATTAAAAGATGTAACCTTTGCTGGGGTTTCAACAATTTGTCCGACATCTTAGTTACTTCAAACTCTTCCTAAGTAGAAATCCACATTCATCTATTAACAAAGAAATATCAACTGAACCCTAATGAACTTTTATGTACCTGTATATCTAAATAACGGTAATTTTCAGTAGATAAGCCAGAGACCTTTTGATCTCCACCTTCTTGGTGTCATCTTCCACCTTCTACCTAAACATAGTGAACCACGGTGACAATAATTACGTCGGATATGGAGAACACAGGCCTGACTAATGCAATGTTTAGGATGTTGTAAACTGCCGTAAAGCATGAAGGCTGTTGCTGGTATTGCCCTAACTGTGTAGTCAAGGTGAATGAGGCGATTGCAAGCCATAGGGGAACGAGTTTCCTAGGGACAAAAATAGATGAAGCTGGAGCCTTGCTGGTTGCCAAACTAGAACAAGTTGGGAAAGAGATCCTTGCTAAGACTGAGGAAGTAGCCGATAGAATGGAGGTGGTTGCTAAGAGGAGTTATGCTGACGTATTAGCAGGGCCACGGGAGGGGGCGGAGAGTAATGCAGGATCAGAACAGGTTCTACAGCAGCTAACGACTCTGAAGAAGTGTGTCAAAGAAATTAAAATTAACGGACCTACTGTTAGGGGAGAGGAAGAACAATGGGAACATCTCCAGCGCAGGAACAATGTAATAGTTTTTGGAGTCCCTGAGAGCCAGGCGGAGGTAACCGAGAGTAAGATAACACACGATAAGATGCAGTTTAAGAATATTTGTACAGAGGTTCTGAAGATGCCATCAACCCCTCAGGATGTGAGGAGGCTGGGACAAAAGCAGGGGGATAAGCCTCGCCCCCTCAGGATCACACTAGTAAGTGAGGAGGAGAAATGGGAGGTTATTCGGCAGGCAAAAAACTTAGCAAGGAGTGAGGCATTTCGGAGTGTATTCATTCACCCAGATCGCATGGTAATGCAGGGGGAACAGCACAGGAAGCTCCTGCACGGCTTGAAGCAGAAGAGGGAGGAGTCGAGGAGGAGCAGGGACGGGTGTACATGGGTTACATTCAGGGAGAGAGTGGTGGAAGCAAGTCTGCCGACACAGGGCCAGGGGACAGCAGCGCACCCTCCACCTTCTCTACCCCCCACCCGGGAGGTGGCACCAGCTCCGGCTATCAGCCGGGAGGAGGCGAGCGCTTTGTAAACAATGACATTTCTAACTACACCCTGCAAAATGCAGTGTACCTAGCAAATGCTGCAGCTTCTGAGAATGGGGGGGGGGGTTACTACTAAGGGCACAGATGTTACCGAGAACAAATTCGGGCATGAATGTCGTGTACACTAATACTGACACGTTCCTTGATAAGAGAGAGGAGTTTGAAACACTACTGAAGGTACACCAACCAGATATTGTAGGAGTTGTAGAACTGTTGTACAAGAACAGGAGAATAGACCCAGAGGAATGTGAGTTCAGTATTGTTGGATTTGACTCATTTACGAACCTTTCTCAAGAAACTTGTAAGAGGGGTGTGGTTATCTATGCTAGGCAAGACCTTAGAGCCAGCCAGGCGAGGGTACAGGGAGAGGATGTTTTTGAAGAGTCCAAGTGGTGTAAAATTAAACTAAAGGGAAGGGACTTACTTATTGTCGGGTGTATCTACAGATCCCCAAACTGTGGCCGACTAAATCAAAGGAACTTAAGAGCCTTAATAGACAACGCAGCGATGCTCAACCCTAGCCACCTCCTTATCATGGGGGACTTTAACTATGGCGACATCGACTGGAGAAACGACTGAAGAACCCTGCTACTCTTTTTGTAGAAACTCTGAGAGATAATTTTCTGTTCCAACATGTGAGAGACCCGACACATTACAGAGGGGAGCAAACACCCAAGCCACTAGACCTCATCATAACAAACGAGGAGGGTATGGTGGCCAAACTGGAACATCTTGCCCCAGTTGGCACCAGTCACCATATAGTGTTGTCATTCAGATTTAACTGTTACCTAGTTCAAGATAAGGCCAGGCCAAGGTGCAAATATTACAGGGGAAATTACAACGGGATGAGGGAAGAGATGAGGGGTATCCACTGACCTGACTCATTAAGGCACAAGAACGCAGACACTACGCTGAATATCATAACTAGTAAAGTGACCCATTTGATCGATAAATATATACCCAAGACCAAACCCAGTGCCTCTAGGACTACGAGGGGATCGCTACACATGAACCATGCGGCGGTCGACAAGTTAAGAAGAAAACCCAGAAATTGAAGAGCCAGAAACCAAGCAAAGATAGAATGTAGAAGGGCTGAAAAGGAGTTCCAGAGGCTGGTTGCAAGCGAGGTCAAGTCAAACCCAAAGGCGTTTTACTGCTATGCAAAGTCGAAATTAAAATCGCGAGTAGGAGTATCAGACCTGAGGCTTGGAGATGGTAGTTACGCAAATTCTGACCAGGAGAAAGCTGAGGCATTGAACAGCTTCTTTTCCTCGGTGTTCACAAGAGAGGATGCGATTAACCTTCGTGCGTTTGAGGACAGACGGTTCGACTCAGCACTGACCCACATTGTGTTCACAGAAGATTGTATTAGAAATAAACTGTCAAAGCTAAAGGTCCATAAGAGTCTCGGCCCTGACATGGTGCATCCTAAAGTGCTAAGAGAGTTGAGCAACGAGCTTGCCGAGCCCCTGAAGATCCCGTTTTGTAAATGCCTGGATGAACGAAAGGTCCCCAGTGAATGGAAAGTGGCTTATGCGAGTCCTATCTTCAAAAAGGGCGATCGTCACTCCACGAACAACTATAGACCGGTGAGCCTAACCAGAATAATATGTAAAGTACTTGAGAGTATTATCAGAGATGCCGCGATGGAACATCTACTACGAAAAAACCTTGTAAAGGATTGCCAACACGGTTTTATGCCGGGGTGATGCTGCGTAACACAATTGTTCAAGATATTGGATATTTGGACCCATATTCTGGAACGGGGTGGTAATATCGACAATATTTACCTAGATTTTGCCAAGGCTTTCGACAGTGTACCCCACATGACCGCAAGCAGTGTGTGGTGATTAATGGCACGAAATCATCATCCATACCTGTCACAAGCGGGGTACCACAGGGCAGTGTATTGGGCCCGCTGTTGTTTGTTTGTTTCATAAATGACATGCCTGGCGTTGTACACTCCTCCATACAAATGTTTGCCGATGACGCCAAGTTATTTCGGGAAATCAAGAACCAAGCGGACTGTGAAGAGCTGCAGAAGGACCTCTGTGGACTCCAAGAATGGTCGAAGATATGGCTGCTGAGATTCAATGTCACGAAGTGTAAGAGGATGCACCTGGGGCGTACCAACGGTAAGGAGGCGTATCATATGTCCCAATGGGATGAAGAAACTGCACTACAGTATTTGAGACTGAATGTGAGAAGGACCTAGGTGTGTATATTGACAATGAGCTGAAGTTCTCGAGCATTGCGAGAAGAAGGTAAATCAGGCAAATACATTATTGGGTCTTATAAGGAGGTCGTTCAGATATCTTGACGGTCCGTCCCTCGTAACGATCTTCAAGAGTGAAGTGCTTCCCCATCTAGAGTACTGTCACCCCGACTGGTCCCCGAGACATGCTAGGGACTGTCAGTTGGTTGAAAATGTCCAAAGGAGGGCCACCAGACTGGTGCCTGCCCTTTGGCACCTCAGCTATCCTGAGAGATTGGAGCGCCTGAACTTGCCTAGCTTATGCTACAGGCGGGCAAGGGGTGACCTAATTGAGGTATATAAGCATCTCAAGGGGCACTATTCAGTTGAGTGTCCTTACTTGGAGATGGCGGACGCTCGCCCCACAAGGGGTCACAGCTCAAGATTGAAGAAGCCGCAAGTCCAGAAAACTGTGAGGGCAAACTTTTTTGGAGTGAGAGTTGTGAACTCTTGGAACAATCTACCAGAAAGTGTTGTGGCGGCACCGAGTGTGAGCTCTTCCAAGACAAGACTTGACCAACACTGGAGCGGGTTCAGGTACATCCAGGAGCCGGTGCATGCCCAGAACTTGCCAACAGTGCGTAACAGAGACGTGACCGATCGCCCAAGCGGCTAACAAGTCCATCTTTTGGTGAAGAGGATAACAGAAAAGGAAAAGTATTCAGAGACGTGACCGATCGCCCAAGCGGCTAACGAGCCGATCAGTGGTGAAGAGGATAAAAGAGAAAAGTTGATATGTAATCAGCTGTACAGTATTAGATATTAGTTACTGTTTAACATTGTTTAAAAAGCGGGAATTACAACTGCGATATTGCTAAATATTTTCAGAGATAATTTTACATCTTTTAACCCGATTTCTCACAAGAACTCGTATCAGGAATTTCCCTTATTATCTGCATCTGAATATTGTGTTTGTACAGACTAATGGAATCACCTGAACATTAGACAGCCCAGACTATTTCACTTGAAGATTAAACACCCAATTATTAACCAAACCCCCAGGTAACGTTACGGTGTTTATTCATTTCGTGAACTAAGCTATGGAATAATCTTCAGACGATTCCACGGGTCAGTGTCAGAGGCACCACGTATTTTGTCCACTTCTTGCATTCATCTGACAACAAACTTTATTTTAAAAAATCTGGTCATTACATCTTACAGATAAAGATTGTAATATAGTAATATTGCATGCTATGTGATGCTGCACCGCAGCACTCGGGTCGTGACTCAGCCTTTCTTCTGGCTAAGTGTACACTACGTGTCGAATGACTTTGTGGTGTATGTATTAAATTGTGAAACACACACACACACAAAGAATAATTATTACTTTCTACGAACAAAATTAGCTCAATATGTTGAATTTAGAACAAAAGAATTGTCTGTAAGAGTGAACAATGTCCCCCACACAAAAACTCGGTGCTAACATAAAACGATCAACAGTGTTCATTACAGAAACTCCCGTAATTTTCTTTCTTGTTTTCTATTTCATTCCTGCGTGACCCTGTGGGGAAGCTGCCCCCCACACAGATTCACAGATTCTCATAGGTTCGGATGTTAAAATTTTCCTACGTAACTGACCACGTAAGAACGATGGAAAGCAACAAAGGAAACTGACTCAATGACCATATATGTAAGAAAAACAAAACAAAACAAAAAACACTAAACTTTTTATATCCAATCCCAAAATAGTAAATTCCCACGACCATCCTCCACACCCAGCTGTAGAGGGCCTTTAGCCTGACAACACCCAACTACGTATCTCGTACAATAATAACACTAATCCCCTCTTTTGTTACTTCTAAAATCCTATACACATACAAAGGCTACAATTCCCCCACCTTTCTAGATACAAACTTTAAGGTATTTCATTCCTAGGTGAAAATAAGAGTGTTTGTAATTTAAAACAGTAAACAAACGCAGCCAAAGATAAAAGTCATCTTACCTAACTTGGCCAAAATTGTGATAATTTCTAGTGATATATTTTTTCGAGGCCATCAGTTTGTTGTGGGCGTTAGACGAAGTTCTTCCTGTTTGTGACTAAAACTAAGGAACAGCTATTTCATATATGAACAAGCTCTAGAAACATGAACACACAAAACACATACATCCATTATACATACATACACGCACACAACACATACTGACATACAGAAACACAAACGTCTACACACACACAGAGGTCAGGTCAACACAGCTTTAGTGGTGAACACTAGAGGGAGCTGGCGAAGGTTATAACAACAGTTGAGGATGACTACCAGTGTTGCCTCACGCAGTGTATGTTGAACTGACCATCAACCCCCCCCCACCACACACAGGGTACCTTGACATCTAAATTAACAGTTTACATTCAGATAACCGAAGTAATTACAAGCAGCACAGCACAAGTTAAGAACTCCAACATTACTGGTAATTATTGCACTAATACACAACTCTAATGATCCAAATACATTTATTCTACATGCCATCACAAATACAATGATGTTACTCTGCCTATCAGTGGCAGCAACATCACTAAGCCACTAATGTTATTCTATCAGAGGCAGTGACGTCACAAATATTGGTTGTCGACCAACCAGGGGCAGCGACGTCATAAACATAATAGTTAGTCTACCAGTTACAGGCAGCGACGTCACAAATATACTAATTAGCCTACCAATCAGGGGCAGCGACGTCATAAACACAACAGTTAGTCTACCAATTAGAGACAGCGATGTCACAAGTGGGCATCAACACAAGGCGACAAGAGCTACCAGACAGTCAATAAAGTAACCAACCAGTAGGTCCAGTACTCCCGTGTGTTACTCGGGGAGGGGTCCTACCTGTTGATCTTCACTGAAGGAGACGGTGCGGGCCTTGCCGGAGCCCCCACGCTTCATGGTGCCTTGTGTAGGGGTGATGATGTACTAGGCAAGGCTGTCTCTCACACGCCGCCAAACCAACTCTTTCTACTTTTATGTCCTTGCTTCTCTTATTTCTCTTTCACCTTTCTCGTCACCGTATCAATTGGCCGAGAATCTTTTCTATCATGATCAATGTCTCACGGTATACACTTGTTTATTGTTAACATACACTAAAAACTTAAATTTTTCTGCACAAGTGTGTGTCCATACACTGAGTCTTCACGTCATCTGGGGTGAGTTTTCTTATCATAACTTGTTGCCATAATATCTTTTTCTCTTAAGTTATTCCGACTATCAGTTCCTGTAAACACACACTTCAGTAACTTCACTACACATCATTTGTCAGCAAGAGGTCAAGATGATGGTTTGTATTATACATCACTTGCATGAATATATCCGTTAAACTAGCTCACAATGACAACACTGTTATGAACACCGGTACAAGGTTATAAAAGAATACTGTATAGTTTCTCAAAATAATGACTGGCAGTTACTCCTCGGGAGTCCTCGCCCCATATACAATCTTTGAAAATATTCGAGGAAAAAAAGTTGCTTGAAACCTCTCATAATTTTTAAAATCTTTGGTGTTTAATGTTGTGTTTGGCCCCGTATCATCAAATGAGGTTGCCGCGTAATCATTTTGATATCTCTTTTGTGGTTTTATTATATTTTATTTAAATTTATAGTTACAAACCCCAACATTGTTATACCATGATCTAGAAGTCGCTATAGTTGTTTACGGGCAAGGCGACAGACCACAATAGGAAGATGACCGTTGCATCATACTGTAGACAAAAGGCTGTATTTTCCTATACAAAACTTAAGGCCACACTATGACATCCCTTCTCTTATCGTTGTGCTGCTAATGATGGCAGCTATCTTGTTTTTATGTGAGATTATGTAATAATAGCTTATCATGTAAGATAGTGTGTCCTCCGCACCATGTACACCCATATTTTTACGTCGATATTTAATAAACGGACTCTATTTTTATGCACCACCTGACGACATTGTGAGTATTATTAAGATAAACACTTGACTACAAGACACGTTCACTTATTTGAGTCAGTTGCTTATACTGTCACAACACCGCTTGTCTTTCCTCCATTGTCTTGCAACAGAACCACGAAACCTTGGTCGAAAAGTATATTCGTGATTTGTTGAAGTTTCTTTAAAATTACATTGTGCTTCTAGAAAAATACACAAGAAACGAGTAAACATACTTGTAATATTCATAGCGGCAAGACGTCAATAAATATAGTTTTGTTTAGTTTCAGGCGATTTAGGTAAATTACTCAGTTCCTTGAACACAACGAACAATAGTTCAAAACTGACAATCAATGACCAGCAGTGTGTAATACAGTACTAAGATTATTACACAAGATTCTGAGTGTGACTGTGACATTGTTGGTTAGTGTACCATAACCAGTTAGTGATTGTAACATGACCAGCTAATGAGCGTTAAGGTGCGTCTACACGTGCGTGCATTTTGTCGCCAACAGGTGATCGACAAGGCGAAATGGGGCACAGGGTTCCGACTCTGGTAGGGTGCGGCCGCGTGCACTAGATCGATGTTTCCTCTTCTTGTTGGTCACACGTTGGCGACAAAATGTATGTACGTGTGGACATACCTTTAGTGTAACTTAATCGGTCACTGAGTTTTAGTGTAACAAAACCAGTTCGTGAGTGTTCGTTTAATAACACGCATACAGAAACAGCTTCACAAGTATATATATATATATATATATATATATATATATATATATATATATATATATATATATATATATATGTTCACAAATATACACGCTCACATATATACACAGCTTAATAACATACACCACAGCAACACCAACAGGTACACACCCCCGCGTGACATTGAATGTCCTACCAGCGACCACCTACTATTGAAGGTCGAGCGCCAAGAACGCCATCTGTCCCACTTGAATCTGTATCAGGTGTTTTGCTCTTTTGGTCTCGCCTGAAGCAACACCAAGCGCACTCACACACTTCAGTCTCGTCTTTGTTCAGCTGGCAACCAACCAAGTACGCCTCCCCAGAACGTTCGCTGTGACCCAATTTATACGCTGCCTGTAACAGCTGATGTGTGTTGCGTAGTGTGGGGTAGGTCCATTTTTTTATTTACATCTGTCAGCTGATCGATATTTTGCGTCACGTGGACCAGCTGATTTATATTAAGGATGAAAGTGGTTCATTGTTTATTTACATCAGCTGATCTATATATATATTGCGTCATGTGGGTCAGCTGATTTATATTTGGGATGAGAGCTCATCTATATTTTGCGACACCCAATATGTTAAGTGCGGTTGAAAACAGTATTATGTAAAATCAGTGTCAATGGGATAGATTGGGTTTTCTTAAAGTTACTATATTTTCAAGTTATATTAAGGGGGTTTCCATGGGCTATAGCGGTTTCCACTGAGTTTAAACTGTGCATAAAAGAAGTTTCAGCGGGTTGTGTCGATTATCAAATAGTCTAAAATGATTCTCAAGTGTGAAGATAAACTCTGCTTACGCTATGGATATAAAAATAATAATAGACAGACAGAAAGACCAAAATATTATAAAACCTTCTTTACGCTAATTGAGAAAAAATACATTTAAAACAAGAAATACAGAAAAACTTAATTAATACCCAAGATGAGGAAATATATTGGGTGTAAATTACTTATGATGCTGAGGAGTTGCTATATATATATATATATATATATATATTAAATATATATAGTGTGGGTTCCCGAGAATATTTGTGTGTGAGTAAACCAGGTGTTATGTGGGGGTGTCAGGCCCTCCTCTCACACACACCTACACTGCCCCTTCACACACATACTGTACACTGACCCTCCCCACACACATTAACCTTCCCCACACAGACTGACCTTCCCCACATGCACTGATCCTCCCACTTACACACACTGACCTTCCCACATACACACACTGGCACTCCCCCACATATACACACTGGCCCTACCCCACATATACACACTGGCCCTCTCCCACATACACACTGGCCCTCCCACACACACTACGAAAGCCTTTAAGAGGAGCTAGGTCCAGAGGTTAAGGTGTGGGTAAATAAGTAAACAAAATATATATATATATATATATATATATATATATATATATATATATATATATATATATATATATATATATATATATATATATATATATATGGACGGCTAAAATAATGACAATAATCGCAATTAAAAAATAAAATATAAATTTCCATCTCTCTCTCTCTCTCTCTCTCTCCAGCTTGAAAGACACATCCTAATTCACTAAACTCTACCCCAATAATTATAGTACAAAAGTTACCCTGTATTTGCTGAACTTGGCGATATTTCCGCTAAACTGGCAACACTGAAAACTCCCGGTTGGAGGGTGAAAACTTAACGTAAGAGACTTTGTAAACTGGTACCATATAATCTTATATACAAATAACGGGTATATTGGTTCTCTGTTGTCCTATACAACCAACAAGTATTTTTTGCCATATGTTGTCCTATACACGGCGAAGTATATATATATATATATATATATATATATATATTTCATGCAGACTTCTAAATATGATCAACACCTCACCCCGCCAGGATTCGAACCCATGATCTTATGACTGTGACTGGGGAACGTTACCACTGGGCCACCAGGACACTAAAAGCAGTCCTAGACTCTGTTATATTTCACACAATGACTGTTCAACGAGCTTATGGCGCCGTGAACCTCTAATGGGGACTACCCGTGCCGCTTAGGTGATCAGAGTAACGTTCCCCGGTCAGTCATAAGATCGTGGGTTCGAATCCTGGCGGGGTGAAGTGTTGATTATATGTAGAAGTCCGCGTGCTTTATTGGGCTAATGAAATATATATGGATCCTCGTGTTTCGAAGCCGGATTTGGTAAAACGTTACTCTGATCACCTAAGCGGCACGGGTAGTCCCCATTAGAGGTTCACGGCGCCATAAGCTCGTTGAACAGACTTTGTGTGAAATATAAGAGTCTAGGACTGCTTTTAGTGTCCTGGTGGCCCAGAGGTAACGTTCCCCGGTCACAGTCATAAGATCGTGGGTTCGAATCCTGGCGGGGTGAGGTGTTTATATATATATATATATATATATATATATATATATATATATATATATATATATATATATATATATATATATATATATATTAGGGTGGTCCAAAACTATATGGTAAAAAATATAAGTAGTAATATATTGCCTCCACAAGCCTTAAAATTGTCCATTTGGTTCATAGATAAGGTCTGTAAAATTTTATCCATATTCATTAACATTTAGAGGTCAATCCATTTTGCATATTATACTTGTAGTGTAGGACTGAATTTTCTTGTCCGCATGATACAGTCTTAATATACACAACACATTATATTGGGTATATTTCAATGTATATAGCCTAGTTGCCTATTTGGAAAGGGCAAAGAGTCAAGTATTGAGTCATAGGGACTGACAATGACAGGTTGAAACAGGAAACACAGACAAGGGTTACCATTAATCAGATGAAGTTACTTATTTCATTTATATCTCATCAGTTCTACAATTATTTCATTATCAATCTAAATAGTATATTATGCAGGTTTCCATCTTGTGTCATGGCATATGAATGGCAGGCAATTATTACCTGTGAGAAATAATTAGACTTAGTTACAGATTTTGTTGGCAACATTGGGACGGAAAACTCCTTCCTGACGTACAGAACACAACTGCTAGTCGCATTGCCATTGTGGTGACATTTAATGGACAAGAGAAGCTGCTAGGAGTACCCAAAAAAGAGAGAGAAACTGGAGAAGCACAGGCCGAAGCATGTTTGGAAGCAATTAAATCATGGAATGTTGAGAAATTGGTTAAAGGACTTGTATTTGATACTACTGCTTCCAATACAGGATTACATCGTGGAGCATGTGTCCGCATTGAAGATGAACTGGAACAGGAACTTGTTTGGATAGCATGCAGACACCATGTGCTAGAAATTATGCTAAGCGATGTCTTCAGTTTGATCTGTGGGTCAACTGGAAGTCCTGAGACTATTCTGTTTTAGCGCTTCAAAAAGCAGTGGAGGTCCATTTCGCTCAATGACTTCATTCCAGCACCAGAAAGCATGTTTGAGGACCCAATGCTTCAAATTCTAAGGAAGGAGTTGCTTGAATATTTGCCAGTAGCCCTGCAGGATAATCAGCCACGAGATGATTATAGGGAGTTTCTAGAACTAGCTCTTTTGTTTCTTGGTGGACTGCCAAGTAGTAAGGTTTCCTTTCGAG